AAACAATATTCCGGGCATGTGCTCGATAATATGTAGCTTCGTTTCGTGTGTATTTTAGTCTAGACGCCATCTAATTAACTGTCGAGTTGACCCACGAAGACCTCCGATTGCCATATAAGCGATATAAACATAAATATAGATATAAATAGATAGCAGAATCGTGCATTTGGATTTTTTTTATGTCTGTTTAATTTCATATTATAGATTAAAAATATATGTTAATCATCGTTTTTACCTGTATAAGAATGATTTTTTGTGGATCGAATCAGTCAATCAATTGTTTCACTTTCAATGTTGACATTCTTTTCCTTTAAATAATTGAACACGCACAATGCATGCGGTATCCATCTCTAGCCAAGGGGTTAAATTGAAGTTCACATGAATACGGATTCAATGAGGTCGAATCATTCACTTGCAAGTGAATAATTCATCCTCAATGTTTCTAAGCTTATTTTGACAAAATTGAACCATACTGGCTGCTAAAAGCAATCTATTATTTCACTATTTCAATTTCATTAATGATTGAACAAAAAAAATCGTATTTTATAATTTCTATATATCTCGTAGCTAGTACCCCTTTAAATGTAAAAGAGAAATCGAGTCATACCGAGAAGAAATGGAGCATTGGTTTAATTAAATCATTCAATTTACCCCACACCCCTTTAAAACCACAGAAGCCGATTGATATGTTCATAATTTGATAATGATAATTTAGTTTGCAAGCACTTATTTATTATAATATATTACGATAAACAGGTATGATCTGTCAATCTATCTTCATCGATTTGACTCAAATTCTCATATTTGATTAATAACGACTTAAAACGTATATCCAAACTACATACAGAAATTAATTAACAATATTATAATGTTTCAGCAATTCATCTGTCTTTTAGGCTAGACGCCATCTAAAAAAGAAAACAACACCTTATAAATGTTATAGAGTCCGAAGCGCTTCTCTTGATTTACCTTCATCAGAAATGCTCAATGTCGAATAATTTAACGCCAAGGATGTATTAGAACCGAATCAGTCGAAGATCTATATCACCAAACAACTCCAAAAAATAATAGCCAAATTCATCTAGGTAAAACTTTGCTTGAGGGAGTTGAAACCTTAGTTTCTAATAATTTCTAAATTGACAATCGAAATAGATGAATATAAATCAAATACGCCGACAAGCAAGTGCAATCGTACAATGACGATTTTCGAGGTATGTTTGAATACATGCGTAGATTAAAAAATAAATATATAAATCATCGTTTTACCTGGATAAGAAAGAATTTTTGCTGGTCGAATCAGTCAAGGAAATTGTTTTAACGGAGTATCCCCGTATTTTACTTTTCAATCTGACATTCTATTCTGAATAATAACTGAACATGATTAGCACATGGTGATCCATCTCCAGTTTATTTCAAACTGAAGGTCGCATGCATTTGGATTCAAATGAGGTTGAATTAGTACGCAAGCGATGTTTTGGGGCTTATTTCGACAAAATTTCTCTAATCTGACTACTTATAGCGACATGTTATTTAAAAATTACTCTTTTTTTAATGTTTGAAAGAACAAAATCATATGACGTACAACTTAACAACTATAGGTAACCGTCCGGCCTTCAACAATGAGCAAAACCCATACCACATAGCAAGCTATAAAAGGCCAATGCCCGTTTCAGAAATTGTGATTTCTTATTATGATACGATTATTTTCGTCATATCTTTTTTCCTTGCTTTGCTGACAGTTTGGTCAAGGTTAATTCAAAACTGTGAACGAGCCTTTCCAACAATAATCAACATTGATAAAAATAACAATTATCTGACGTCAAAGTATAAACTTTTAACATAGTATTACTTTTAAAGATTAACAAGTGTGGTATTTTTAGGAATTGACAAAAATACCACACCGCACTTGTCGTGTATCGTGAACTTCTCAACATTGTACTATACGTTTATACCTAATAATAACTTCTGCTAATAGCTAATGTATTCTAATCCAGCATTTATCTGACACGAATGTCGATATCTTTAAGTAAGATGACTGTTTGAACTCGTACATTATATTGTCTATGGACAAGTACGTTAACTGACCTAATTACTGGAACCATGTGAACTTGAATGATGTGATTATAACAATGATATATATATATACATTTATTGGTTTCAGGTCATGTCCGGTGTATGCAGCCTCACGATATTGACAAAATAGCATATTAATGTAAGCAGAAGTTGTATATCACAGTGATAATAAAGGGCAATTTTTATTTATTACTTCCATATTCATGTTTATCTTAACTTAAGTATTGTATTTTCTTCTGTGTTTGTTTTCCTTTTTTTCTTCGTCATTTCTATTCATGCAAGTAATTAAAGAAAAACCTTTTAAATTTGGCGCGCCTTTGCACTTTGAAGAAATGACTAATCATTTACCCCCCCCCCCCCATTTGATGTCGTTTTGTGATAATGGCGTCGGCTACAAGGTACGGTTGCATTTCAGATTTTGCCTTGGAAAATATTTCACAACAAAAAAATCAAAGTTGCAGTTCCTCATATTATGTTCAGTATAATAAAACAACGATGTCTTTTGTAATTTATACGGTTTTTTTTTTGTTTCCGGATCCTTGTTTTTCTATTGAACATTTGTTATTTTTGCACCTTTAAAAATAAAATAGTGTTTAAATTAAACTACGTCTTTTAACAATAGTTGATTTCCAAAAGTATTAAGGCATATTTCGGGGGAGGAGGTCATGGTTTCTCTCTCGGGAGAAACAATTTTGTCTTCCAATTAATCATAAACCAATAACTTACAGGAGCATGAACTGTTTGAAAGATCAAAGTTGTTTTGTTATTGCTAATTCATTTTTAATAGAAAAGACATATTTTGTTCACTTCACTTCTGAAAAAAATTAGATTTTTCAAGAATCACAGGATCAAACAATAACATAAACGAAAGCAGATTAATATAACCTTTCTCGATAAAATAGTTTTGGAAATTAACTTTTGATGAACGCCTTAAATGTATAGTACTATTATTGTAGTAGAACGAGTAGTAGTAGTTGTTGTAGTTAAGGGGCACTAGCTACGAGATATATAAAAAAACGTAAAATATGATTTTTTTTTTGTTCAACCTTAATGAAAGTGAAAATAGTGAAATAATAATTCGCTTTTAGCAGCAAATATGGTTCAATTTTGTCAAAATAAGCTATGAAACATTGATGATGTATTATTCACTTGCAAGTGAATAATTCGACCTCATTCAAACGGCATTCATGTGAACTTAAATTTAACCCCTTAGCTAGAAATGGATAATGCATGCATTGTGCGTGTTGAGTTATTTAAAGGAAAAGAATGTCAATATTGAAAGTGAAACAAAGGTAAATCATTTGATTGACTGATTTGATCTACAAAAAATCATTCTTATACAGGTAAAAACAATTACTAACATATATTTTTAATCTATAATATGAAATTAAACAGACCTAGAAAAATCCAAATGCACGAGTTTCGATATCTATTTATATCTATATTTATGTTTATAACGCTTATATGACCATCGGAGGTTTCCGGAGGTCAACTCGATAGTTAATTAGATGGCGTCTAGACTAAAATACACACGAAATGAAGCTACATATTATCGAGCCCATGCCCTGTAAATTGTATATTTTAGACTTTTTATAATTTGGATAAATGTTTTACATTGTTATAAATCAAATATGAGAATTTGAGTCAAATCGGTGAACATGATTTGACAGCTAGTGCCCATTTAGTTAAAGTAGTAGTAGTATAGTCGAAAATGTTTACAGCTAACAAAAATAGATTAACAAAATGACTAGATGAAATGATATCCGCCAATGTTTGTTTACGTATGTCAATTGCTCTGTTGTGCTTTGTTTCTATAAAGGAACGTTAATTTTCAGTTATTAAGTACAAGTAAAAATAAATTATGAAATTATAGTTAATTTATAATTTCTTTAAACAAAATAGGGATGTAGGTATCTCTACCAAGTCTACTTAGAAGTTCGAATTCGTTTTTAGATGAAATAAATGATCATTTACAATGAAAATATTTACTTTGGCCATTATGACTTGTGCTAGTAATGCTACTAATTTTCTTTCGTTGTTAATTTGTTTTTGAAAACAAAAGAAATATTACAATTCCACTTCAGAAAGACAACTAGGAATATTTTCTATTGTATATAGTACAGCGAATCTGGAATAACCTTAAGTATGATCTAGTACAACACATTTAAGCAAAGTATGTCATATCGATATAAGCAACCATGAACTAATCAACACCTGACTTTGATATACGATCGTCATAGTCTCACTTGTAGCATATAAATTACACGAGTTTCACCAGCCAGGTTTATTGTCACAATAACGATTAATCAACTGCAAACAGAATATTGAATTCGGGACATAATTAAACATATTAATTGCAAAGATCAAATTTCGAGGTAGGATTCATTTTTTATATGCTGTACATATTTTCTTGTAAATGTAAACTAATTTCAAATTGTTAATGATTTAAAATATTGGATATATGAATAGAAATAAAACATGTTCGCTTGCCTTTCTGTCATACCATGATGAATGGGTTGATGTTGAATTTTCTTGCGTAAAATGGTTGATCGTCCCGGAAGTGAAAATCTGAAAAAACTAATGGCCGGAACGTAAACGGAAAAACAACCGGAACGGCTATTGCGGAACTCAACCATTAAAGTAAAAAGAGAGAGAAGATATCAAGGGTCAATCAAAAATCATAACTCCATTCCAAACAGATAACACATGGTCAAACACGACCAAAAGACAAACAACAATAACAAAACATTACACACAAAACTAAAGATTTAAAAGTATGCTCAAGATTTCTCGATGATATATCTTTTTTGTTCTAACTTTATCAGTTTTATACTTTTCATTTGATATTGTGAAAACAGTAATCATAATTGACAAATGATTCTGCAAACATACCGAAGACAAATTAATAAAATTTAACATTACTTTTTTTCAGCTAGTGATCGAAGTTCTGCTTACTGTTGCCAACAGGATATTACTCGTGAGTCATTATTTGAAACCACTATATAATTACGAATTTATTATAAAATTGAATAATGTATTTTCTTAATTTTTACAAAATGAAAGCAAATAACGGAATGTTTTTTGGTCTTTTTTCAACCCTTATTATAGAGGTAGATTATTTACTGTATGTGAACTGGAAATCTACTCGCTCATACATCCAGTATCCAACAAATAAATGGCTTTCAATAAAAAATCTTTCATTATTGAATTTTTAATAAGTAAATGCAAAAGTGTATTTCAATTCTCAAAAATAAAATTAGAAAAAATGAAAATAAGATGAAAGGTGAGAATGATAAAAAATTCCAGAGAATCACAGAAAATTTTATTTCAAATCCATTCATTCATTTAAGGCAGAAGCGAAGCTTCCTTTGAGACAATGAGGCAACTGCCTCATCGAATATTTTATAACTAAACATAGATTAGATATAAATAGATAAAATATGTAACGTGTATTCCAAAGTATAGAGTTGAGAGTGAAGGTGGTTGAAACATTTGACTTTTCTATCCTTTAAGCGAGCATTCCTCAATTAACTTATAAACTAATAATCAATTATATTTCCTGAAATAAACAAGGTAGATACAGATTTCTTGTTTTAGAAACGGACAATGTAAACCCTGTAACAAAAGTGATTCAAACAAGAGGTCAGAACTGCGAAACTGACATGATACTTGATTTGTGATTACGTTTAACAGGTGTGGTTTTGACAGACATTTGGCATTCCCATGGGAAGAAACAGTTCTGCCTTTCCACCAACATGTTCCTTGATTCATATGAGCCAGGTTCCATAGTTCAACCAGTTATATCACATGTAAATCCACCCATGCATTTTGCAAACTTATACAGTTACAAGACATAGTTGACCTTAAACTTAAGAATCACCGAATCTGTACAAAAGCAATGTATGGGTGACTAAGATTATGTCATTTGTTTTTGTTTTGATCATTCACTGTTTTGCTTTGAATACCGAGAATAGAATTTTGATCAATAGTTTCATTTAAATGTATCAATTGATCTAATAGAAAATATTATTAGTTCATGAACAAAGTCCGCAAATCTGGTTATTTTTATACGAAAATTGTGTACAAGTGTGTGACCAATCAATACTTGTACCCAAGAGAGAGAGAGAGAGAGAGAGCGCACATTTTAAATTTAAAGATGGAAATTGTAATTCTAATCATAAATGCAACGAAATTGAAATTTATGTAAAGGTATGAACAAATAATAATATCTAGCGATCTTATTCTATCCTGCATAATAATGGGATTAGGATATGGAAAATTGCAACCTACATTTCTCACGTGCGATAGAAAAGCTCTTGTCGACTGTTGAAGAGATGGGCGTTATACCATACCCTATATAACAGTATAGAGAGTACAATGCTCACTACGCGTTAAAGAACCCTTGAAACAAATTTGTCAGGGGTCAATATGAGTCTTTTGGAAGATAACGTCTCTGTATCGGTCTAACATGCTCTTCTATTCCAGTTGCAATCGGAATTCGTGCTCATATACTGGTCGAAACACTCAGAAAAACCTACACTAATGAATATGGTTCATTTTTCTTCAAAATTTGTTGCTTGAGATAAGAGAAACAACAATCAAACGTGTATAAAAAAATAACTGTTTGCATTTGTAAATGCCTCATAAATTTTTTGTGACGTTGGTTTGCTTTATTCGTCCATTTCCTATCCACATCGCGGTTTTTGAACTGTGTCAGGCTTTGACTCTAAAGTATCAAATCGTTTGCCTCAATAGAAATAAGGGTCAAACTATGCCATTGTAAGGAATTTGTAGATTTATCGGAGATACAGCATAACGTATGTTTATCAAATAACAGACTCCATATGTTGATATAAGATAAACAGAAGTACTCGTTTTTAGAGAACCTTCAGAACATATTAGCATTGTGCAAGAAGAATGAGCAAATACAAATGAAGAAATAAAAAAGGATATATGTTGAAAAAAAAACAGACAATGACACAGCTAAAATTAAAAAAAAAGAAAAGACAGATAGACAAGTCGAAAAAGCTACACAGAAAATTTGATATCGACCAACACGAGCCCCTACCCAAACCGATCTTAAATCGGACGCTCCGGATAGATAAGCAGTTCCTACTCAACCAATTGAACCCGTCGTGTTGCTCAGGGTAAGTACAAATTTCGTGAAAAATCGAATCAATGTTGTCACAATCAATCACAAGATGATGATATAATCGCTACGGCAAGTTCAACATATCTGTCATAATCTGAGATACTCTATATACAGGCGCTGTTAGAGTTTTCAACAACAAAAAATGAAAGTTCACAACTCTTTTACGAAATCTAGTTTACATAAAGGCAACAGTAGTATACCGCTGTTCGAAACTCATGAATCGATAGAGATAAAAACAAATCCGGGTTACAAACTAAAACTGAGGGAAACGCATCAAATATAAGAGGAGAACAACGACACAACAAAACACAACATTAAAATGTAACAACTTACCATCTATATAAATCTCTACATACTACTGTAGATTTAAGACAAGATATAAAGCAGACTTAAATAGGTCTGTAATATCCTTTATTTCAAATTCAAACCCCTGTATGACGTCTCCCTCATGCAAAGCTCTTATTCCTTGTCCTGTTTTTGCTATACTTTAGGTCCTTTTGGCTGATCAGCTCTCCAACGATTATGTTTTGGATTTTCTAATATTTTGTCCTCGGGCATCACTGTAGAGACATTAATTGTCGAAATGCGCATCTGGTGCATTGAAATTGGAACCGTTTATATTATCATACAAAGAAAGGAACTAGTCGACAAGAAGAGGAGCAGTTGTCTGACATAAAATGTTTTGTTTGAAAAGTAGTGTTTTAATCAGTATGTTTGTATTTGTGATGGCCGTTCTTTTATAAGAAACACAGTTGAACTAACTTTCAATTTGGTCTTTTAAGTTAAGAATGAGGAATACTATTGAAAAGGGTAGATAAAGTCAACAGTAGTATACCGCTGTTCAATAGTCATAATTAGAGACGTACAATGTTTTAAATTATTGCACGAGGAGAAGAACTAAGATTGAATATACATGCATACATGTACTATAACATATCTTTGGATTATTTGTATCCATATCTGATTCACACCTCCTCTATGGCAAATTTAACACCTTTGCCTGATTTTGATTACTGATTTTAGATTGATGTTAACTTTTTTGGGGGAACATATCTACAATTTTTCAGGATTTTCTCATAAGTAAGTGTGGTGGGAGTATATTCTGGGTTTCGTAGTGATTTGTCAGTACCTACTGCGTTTATCAAACAGTTTTTATAATGTGATTTACAAAGAAACAAATCTACTTGGCTTTGTCTGCAAGGATGATCTGATTTGCAGAACCGTAAGAATTGTAAGATGTCTACACTTTGTTTCCATGATAATTATGTACATTTGAGATATAAAAACCACCGAGAAAGTTAAAACTTCTTCACTATAACTAAGTTATAATTCTATACATCAGTAATATATTCTGATATGTCATGGTAAAAGCAATTATAATAATCATGAAGCAATTTAAAATAACACGTCAATGTGTCAAGAATGATTTTAACCAGTTACATACATGTGAAGAACGTATCAAATATTGTTTAAATCTACCGCTCATTGTTTACTTTTTGATGAGCTTTATGTTCTTTCGTTATAATTACTTATTATTCATGGTTCGAATATTGCATTTAATCAAGAATAGTTATACAGGCAGGTCAACTCTGTTATTTGATTGAACATCTAATCAATCATGGTGATTAAACAGATTTAGGTAAATGCTAAGCATTTATTTTAAAATTTAGTGTAATACGACCTTTTTGTACATAAGCCCAAAGCATTCAGTTTTAATAATGTAGGGTGGAAAGACGACAATCTTTCCAACCTCTTATAATAATAGTTTTGTTGCGATATGTTATTGACATTCATTTGATAGAGTTCGTGGAACAAATTTTGTGTTTTCTGAACAGATGAGCTTATTATTTGCTCTAATTGTCCAAATACTGTGAAGGCATTTATTTTGACATGAATAGATCGGTGTGTGTGGGTTGGGAGAGGGATGTTGTCCACATTATTGAAAAAAATAACGTTGATTTTTTTCGGGTTGGGGTCGGATTTCCCATTTTGAGTACTCTCAACCAAGACCACTTTTCTTTTGGATAAATTATAAGAAAAAAACTCATATATTTTAGTTTGGTACGATATCTTCATCCATGTTGCAATATTTGACTGCCTTCATAAAATAATATATATGGTCGTGTATAAGAAGTCCTAGAAAATGTACACCTTCACTTTTATCAAATACTAATAAAGTATTTCTAAACTTCTTCCTAGAACCATCCTCAATCCATTATGACTGGTTTTAAGTACTGGATTTTTGTTTTGTTTGGTATTTGTAGTTTATTAATGTGGATATGTCTTGAAAAAATCGAACCAATATTGAAAGAACGGAAATTTTTCATGCAAGCTTTTCTCCTAAGTTGGAAAATGTTTCCTCAGTCATCCAATTAGTTGATTTTAAATTGTCATTCATGAATCAATTTATCACTTGCGTTTTCGGAAACGACAGGATGGAAAAAGACCTAAAAATCTCATCACATCCATTTTACTATGAAACGCAAGAAATTTGAATTTATGATAATGCATATTGATAATAAAAAAAATAAAGCTTAGTATATGTATGTTCATCTGACACAACACATTTTAAAGATCTTTATTGAAATATATATGTATTGTTCATACACAATTAATATGATATGTCTTTCTAAAATGTTTCCACCTTACTTGCTGTACTTCTGGATATTGATATTATGCGGTTTTATTATCACTTTGGTTGGTCAAAAGTCAGACACTAGGTTATCTTCTACTCAGTAGTTAATGGCTCGGAACTAGGCTTGCAACATGTCCCTTCCTAATTTTCTTTTTTTCAATTTTGTCCCTTTAACAATTTTACTGCTATA